TTAACAACCTGTGTCCTTTTTACTCGATTTTGTCAATTTTCTCTATTGTGTCTTGTGATTTCAATTCTTTTTTAATTTGATCTCAATGTATCAATTTTTGATCTCAGTCATTTTTGACCTTGTTTTGCTTATTAGCAATGTTCAGGCATTTTGGCCAGTTTTTATTGCCAGGCCTTTTTGTTTTATTGTACTTGTAGATTTTTTTATTTTTACAAGGGCTTATTTCTAGTCGTTTTTAGTGATGGTCATAACAGGATCTTCAATCCCTTATTTTTGTGGCCAACTATTGTATTTTTAATTCTGGCCTTAACTAATTTTTGAATTAACTTTTTTATAGCAAGGTCATTTTTCTACTGATATTTTACGCTGCCAAATTAAGTGGGGGTGTTATGTTTTAATGTTTCAACAGTTGGTAATTTGTCTGCTCCAACTTTTATTCTTCTTCCACTGTACTTTTGGCGCCATATTGTTTTCCTGCTGAATGTAGACCCAATAAACTCCACTTCTGTCTGCGCCCTCAACTCGTTCACATCTATTGACTTGATTCCTCCGCCCACTTTTGATCGTCATCAGAACATAAAAAACCAATGAAAATTCGTGCCCAATTTAAAATCTGGGTCTACATGGGAAAATCTTCTCCTGAAAGAACTAAAAATCGTATACTTTCCGAAAAATCCAAAAATGATCCCCCCTTTTTAGTCAATACTGGACAAAATGGATTAACCCTATGAATACAGATATTAAATTGGGCACGAATTTTCATCCCCAACCGTTTTGTATACGACGAGGGGGCAAAACTCCCTTTCGATGTGTACACATGATTCCCGAAATACTTGATTCCGAGTGATTCCCGTCCGCTTATATTTATTCTTTAGGTTTTCTAGTGGTAGAAAACGCTTATTTCGACTAATTTGTATCAGTTCCACTAGTTTCCCTCTTAGTTAAAGCGATTTTTGTTTGTGTCGATTAATTTTTATCCTGATGATTCCCAGGCAGGTGTACACATGATTCCCGGAGTTATTGCCCCCTCGGTCTCGGTATACGATCAACGATCACCCGACAAAACCCCTAAAGCGAAACAAAATCGGGGACTAACACTTAGATGAGTTCCCTTGTGAGCTGGCCATGCCAGCCCCCTCCCGACCCGGCCCCCTCCCACCACTAGCCCTCGCGGAGACCCGCATCAAAACTAAACACAGGGAGGACGCCGGACTGTAAGAAGCCGTAAACGAATCATATGGCGATGGAGATAGACTACTACGCGGACACAATTCTTTTTACTGTAGTGTAGTGTCCTAATATTGTTCTTAAACCGAACAAATTATTTCTAAATATGGGAGAAAAAGTAAAGCGCAGCCTTCTTTGAAATTTGTATCTTCTGCTTTCAAGATCGATTCTTGAATGAAATTTCTTTCCTAATCCTAATTTGAAAGACAAGGCAAGCGCAAGAAGTCTCAGAGTTTGAGCGAGGATACTTTGTGTGGAAGTGTGTGAGGTAGTGGAAACGACCAGGGGTCGCGGTAGGAGTTCGTCTTATCGGCTGCTATCAGCGGCAGGGAAGGGGCACTCCTTGAGAACGCAGGTAGACAACCCCGTTGATGGTGCAGACGTCTCCGCCGCAGCCAGCGTCCACGACAGAACAGCGAACCGCTGAATAGAAGAGACCATGGCGGCCATCACGAGGGTGTCTGTTTGCCTACTAATCGCCTTCGCCGTTCACACTCAGGTAGGGCAATTAATAACAGGGAGGCAAAACTTCACTTTGGTGAAGGTGTTACATTAAAACCTCCATAGACGCAAATTCTATGGACGTAGCCGAGCCTCGAAAATGTTGCTCAGAGTTTACGCAGCCCTCCCCTAAACCGCGGCATGATTGTCATGGCATATCATACTCCGCGAGGAGAACGAACTAGCGTACTCCGGTTCAGTACCTCAGTACCTCCTCACATCAGTGCTTTGGTGTATAAGGAATCATCCAGAAAGTACGTTCGTCATTCGCCGTTACTAAGCTCCCAACGTTCAGCCCATGCCAGCTCGCATAGCGCCTGATAGATACGCAACATCTTGTCTTTAGTGCATGCGTGTACTGCAGGTTGGCCTACCCTGACTCTCGCAGGCGTCTAGCTCCCGCAAACTGCCCTAACAGGCCGGATGAATGAATGGAAAACGGTCGCACTTTGTGGACGATCCGTAACTCGCAAACCCGAATTTTTCGTCAAAACCTACCTTTCCTCTCATCGTAGGGTCAGACCGCGGACGGCAGCCTGTGGAGGTCCGTAGAGACGTGCCAGAAGGTCGTCAAGAAGCATGTGACCCTCGCCGAGAGCACCGTCTCCAGCACACTGCAGGAGTTTGCGGAGTCCAACAGCACTATGGAGGTAAGTAAAACGTGCTGGGTTCTGGGTAAACCAGAAAAAACATCCCAGCGTTGCGGGTTTGCACACTCTTGGGGCGCAGAGGCCATGACGCCTTACGCGTGGTGGGTTCAGCAAATCCACAAAACTGGGACGTTCGTACTCACAGATGACCCGGTATATCCCAGTGCAAAACGGATCTAGGACAACTCGCCCCAGTCTAACTTGCCCCGGTATAAAGTCGCCCCATGACCATTTCGCCCCATACCCATGTCGCCCCAACGCTAAGTCGCCCCAGTTGAAATCAGTTTTTCACAAGGAATGTGAACTTCTATACAATAAAAGAATCCGGACAAGTTGTGGCCAATGGCTCTTAAGTATGTGACTACCTACGTCGTCGTCCTCTGTGTTCTCCACGTAGCTCACCCAGAAAAAGGTTCCGTTGATTCAATGGAAAGAAAATATTATAAAAAATTTTCCTTAACTCGACGGAATTTTATTGGTTCAAGGGAAAATATCCCATAAGGTAATGAAAAATCGCTAAAATTTGGAAAAAATTGTATCATATTTTCTATTTGTTAAATTTTTATTGATCTAAGGAATTTTCCGTTAATTCAGTGGGATCATTTTCTGGGTGAGGTCCACAATTCTGTGGATTCGAACTTCTATTTGGGCCAGAGAAGACTTCGGCTTTGCAGGAGAGGGACGCTGAGGGACAATGCTTAGCAATATTCAAATGGAATAAATTTTGGACAAAAATATTTGACTGGGGCGAGATGGCACAAGTCTGCGACTCGCCCCAGCCCCAAAATCGGGGCGAGTTAGCCTTGGGGCGACTTGTACCATGGGGCGACTTGGATGGGGCGATTTGTCCGTCTCCCGTGCAAAACATTTATGTATCGAAACTTTGTTTTGGATTCTGAATGATCTAAAAGTATTATAATTTGGACTTATTTGTTATGTATATCTTTGTTGTATAACTTTTGATTAGGGTTGGCCATGCAACTTTGGACACTTTTAAAGTATTCAAATTTTCAGTCCATCACCTAAAAGTGTACATCTCGGAGTTTAAACACAACACCGATCATGTGTATATCAGTTGCCCACTTTTGTTTTTTGTGCATTCCTTCTCCCAGGTGTGAATTTATTTAGCCGCGAGGAAGGTACGAAATGCACACTATCTTTTGCATTTTGTCGCCACATGATGATTTTTTAAAGCGATACTCGCTTCCAAATTGTATTCACTTCTTGATGAACATGCGACACTTCCATTGCATACGTATCATGTGTCAGAATGCAGCTGAAAACAAAAATATTCGTTTCTGTGCATTTATACCATCAGGATTTTCGAAGAGATATAACACGATGACAATTTTCTCGGCAGATCTATGTAAAGAGATGGGGCGACTTAGTTAAGGCCAGTCGACCAGGTAGTATCAGTGTTGTTTCTGGAGTCGACCATTGCCTGGAAACGTACTCTATATCCACAAAGAATATAGCAGATTCGCTGAAAACCAAGTTGCGCAGTACACTCAAGCAGCAGATCGAATGGTACGATGCCGAGGTGTTCAGTCTGCTCACCGACGCTCTCTCAGAGGAGGGTCAGGCTGGGGTCGTGCAAAGCGTAAAGGTAACAATTACTGTGCCATCGGTGTCATTGCCAACTTTCTCTTTTTCATTCCGCAATAACAGTGCCCCCCCCCCCTCCCCCAATTGGGGCTTCTTCTCATAGCTGTTGTATTTGTTTAGTTCCATTTGGATCCTGCGCTGAAGCAATTTGGTAGTATGGCCGTGTCCGCCCTTAAACAAGCCATCAAGGATATGAAGAGCCCGTATCAGAATGTGGCGCTCTGCATCAGAGACATTGAGATGGACCGTTCATCATTTTAATTTGCATCTTTTCATCATTACTTCACTCTGGAAACCCAAACATTTTTAAATCATGGAATATACACAATTATATGTGTGTACTATGACAAGTATATTATTCTTTGTGTGTACGTCACAATCAAGGAATAGAGCGTGCAGACACATTCAAGTGCCGAAAAGTGCTTGATACACGGAGAGCTTGCACATTTACAATCTTGAGTTGTGCACATTTAAGGGCGAGGGACAATTTGGAGTGTAGTTGAACGACCTTTTCCATGGAAAATTTTCCTGTACCTGGTACGACAATAATGAGAGTGGATACAAGATGGGTTTTCTAAGCGATCCTTTTCGCCGAAGATGGTACTAGTTGGAAAGTTATGGGATCGGTTACTTATCACATCCTGGGCGCAGGTTAAATACTCAACGTAACACTTCTTCATATGGACAAAAGAACAGTTAAAGTTATTTTTTTAAATGCTCAGAACCATCTAAGGATAATGTGCAAACAGTTTGGACGAGTCGCAATTAGAACTTATTTCAAGTGGGTCACGTGGTAATGAAATAGATCTTGTGCGCTCCTATTTTTCTCAGGGTTATACGAACTTGTTAATACTTATTATTAGAAACTGTTGACCGCGTGCGTACCCCAGGATTACATAAATCAGGGGCTCATGCCGCACTTATGTTTGGTGGATTCCAGGGGTGGATTAACAATGTGACTTATGATTAGGGGTCGTCCACATATTACGTCACGCGTTTAGGGGGGGGGGGTCTACGCTAGCGTGACGGTCCTATACCAAAAGCATTGGAAGGTTAGGTTAGCCGCGTGACGTGGGGGGAGGGGGGGTCAAAAACTGCCAAAAATAGCGTGACGTAATATGTGGACGACCCGAGGGGTCGTCAACTTCGATATTCCTCCGTACACGGACTGATATTACCTCAAATATTACACCAATATTAGCCATATTACTGGTAATATTACCTCGATATTACACATTTTTCTAGTATTATGACGTCACAGCTTGAAAATTGGCTCAATATTACCAATATTATTTGTAATATTCAATATTCCTCCGTACACGGCCAAGGAGAGTTGACGACCCCTCGGGACGACCCCTTAGTCCACTGTATGAGACAAAATTAAAGGAGAACGGCGCGGAAAACAAATGATCAGATAAGCAGCTTTAACATCTTTTTATTTCTCTGCTCACAACAATGTTCAGGCAGTAGATCAGGACAACTTACAAATAGAGTAATGACTACCCGAAAAGAATCTTAAAGTAATGGTAACAATTGCACCTGCGATGTCACGAGGACAGTAAGCAGTAATTTACATTTAATAACGTATCTTACAAAACAACGGTAAAAAAAAGTTTTTATGTGTTTCCTTACGCAATGTAGGTGGTGGACCTACTTTACCCTGTGAGTACTTGTTAAACATATGTCTTTAATACAAATATTCCTTCCACTTCACGAAAATTTATGAGCTAACATGGTGAGCAATTTTACAATTTAAAATTATCGCTTGATATATTGTTGCTAAACTGAATTTAGCTCTTTCATCTACCTGTTCAACAATTATAAAAGGCTGCACATGTGTACAGCCAAAGGTATACTCCCACAATGACATCAAATGAGCTGAAAAGTCAAGATTTGGCAAAAAATTGTCTAGTTTACCACAAAACAGACCACTAAATTTAACAAAATCTTGTCTTTGACCTCATTTGATGTCAATTTGACAAGATATCCTTGACTGGTTAGACTGGTAAGACAAGTGTTTCATTTTAAACATCAATTGATATACAAGTTCAAGTGTGGTAAGTTTAGGGTCGTTTAACTAGATTATTCGTCAATTGATGTGGAAAAATTACAAAATTTCCGAAACGTTAAGCAGATGCACAACATATGGTCCCCACTAATAGCATAAAACTAGGTGTGGCCAAGAGTGAAAAATTTAGACGTTGACGAAATGTCTAAAATTTGCACATCACGCAGAACTGCAAAGACTGTTGGACACAATGCCATGTGCAGGATCATGTTCCCCACACGTTTGTAAGCAAATTTTGGACACTTGTTTTACCAGTGTAGTGAAGTGGATAGTGATGTAATATACATCTACCTTCTCTCAATACTTATCAGTTACATGATTCTAATTAACAGACGAAACGCCTACTGTTAAACGTAATATGTATTGACGAAAATTTTTAATCACTAAAGTATAAAACCCTGCAGTATTGAATTTCTGGGATGGATGTTATTACCGCTCTTATTTACAAAATAGGGATTTACCAAGTCTTCTACTAGATTTATCATTACACATCAAGCCATAGTCATGTCATACTCTCAGTACAATGTAAAATATATGGAACTGTCAAGTCAAAAGCAGAGAAAAGCCAGAAAAGGGGACGTGTGTGATTTTTCAACTATCGTTTCACATGGAGTGGGTGATCTGAGCTGTCTTTATTCTTGTTAAAGTGTGCATCGGATGCTTGCTTGCGGGCAGGTTGCATATTTGCACAGGGCCGTAAAGTGATGGTACCCTAGCGCACCATCACGGCTGAATCTAGTACAGCAAGGTAAAAACAATGTTTGATTTTTATTTTCAGAAAAAGGGGAAAACTTTGAGATGCCACTTTCGTTTAAGGCAAACTTTGCACATTTTGAGCAAGAATTTTTTGAGGAGACTTCCTCAAAATCTGAGGAGTTTTCCTCAAACTATGGGAGTAACTTAAAATTTTCCCTCCCCCCCCCCCCAAAAGTCAGACATTGTTATTACCGTGGGAATAACGAAAATAGGAGGGCGTGGATCACCCAGCACACACTCAATCTCTTAAAGTGACGTGTCAGCGTTGATCAACTGTAAAGGTATGTGTGCAATGATAAGGTTTAAACGATTTTGTTCATAAAATCCAGTATCTTCTTCTCTTGCCAAAAAAACAATGACGATTCTGTTAATAACAGACAAACAAATTTGTCGGCATCACTTAGCATCAATTTTTTCTTAGCATAGCACAAAATTATTTATAGCAGTCAGGAACGAAAGCCTCGATATGGAACCTGAGAATGCATAGTTCAACACATTCTAAAATGCCCTACACGGTAAACATGTCGTTAATTAATAAAAAAATTGTTGTTTTTTTTTTTCGAGTTTTTTCTAATAATCATTGATGAACAACACTGTTATTTTACAGAAATGTTTGTTCGGGACAAAGTTATGCGTTCATTTATGATAGTGAACATTGTTACTAAACATCTAATTCTTTTCGAAAGACAAACAAGACAACCATGTATTCTTCAAAATGTTTGTTACATAACAAACATTATTGTTGAAAAAATAAAAGCCATTGAAAAGCTCAACAACAAATTCGTTGTTAATTAACAAGACTATTATTTACGGTGTAGGCTAAGTTCTTTTCTCAAACAGTACAGCACTCGGACATCTATTTTCCCCGGAACAAAGTGATATTGTAAATGAAGCTAGCAAAATATTAGTTTTGTAAACCAAACGTTGATTGTTTGGATAAGTTGATTTTGTAAAGACACTTAGTGACAAAGACACTTACTAAGTGTGCAACTGCAAGTGTTGAGCAGTTGCATACTTGGCTTATCAGTGCAGTTTAATTACATTTTTTGTACAAACTATAACAATTATAGTAAGTTCAATAAAGATTTGGATTATACGTTTCTTTCGCTTCACGAAGAAAAAAATGTCCCTTGCAACTGATTTTCCGTTTTGCTGACAGTTTTTGTGAGTGAGGGTATCTGACTGACTTTAGCTGTATAAAACGACCACGGCCTCTGCTTCTGACTATGGTCAAGATCCCTCTAACGTGGCCATGCATGGTAGCTGAGCGAAGCGAAGCTCAACTCTAGGATATACTTATTTATATATGTATACGTATATTATGCATACAAATGCATTCACCAAACATAATCTTATTCTTTAGAATGTTAATAAAACTGTCGGGTATTTTGTAGCACCATTAAATCCTTACAAAGCCTGAAAACTAGATTCGTTGCAACGTATCAAAGTATATTTCTGTTCTTTGCATTGCGAAGACTCTTTTAAGCCCGCCCTTCTGCTTTGAAAAAGCTATCCAGCGGGCTTATGCAAACGACCTCGTGTCTGTCTGTGTGTCTGTGTGTCTGTTCCACTAGAAGGAGATGTGCTAGAGACCTGAAATTTTCAGGTTATCTTAAGGTCCACTCATAGAGAACGAAACGCCTACGGGAAATCCTAGCAACCACCCCTTAAGGTGTGAATAGGGGTATCCGAGGTTCAAAAATTCTCCCAAAAAGTATTGTTATTTCATGTTCTCCTTAGAGGTCAAAGTAGAGCCTAGGGGCCGAAAATTTCGTCCGTTTTGCTCTATCTCTAACCGTTTAGGCACTAGAGGGTCTTTTTTGACGAAAATAAGCTAAAAATTGCTATAGTGAACAATAAGTTGTAGAAAAAGGGCTAAAAAACCGCAAAATAGGAAAGAAACTCTCCCCCCAACCTAAAAGAACGTTTTCTAAGCAGAAGGGTGGGTTGTAGTCGCGGTGCTTCACCGTTACATTCCTTTCTCGTGTCTACGGGGCAAACTCAAAGACGACTGGTTTAAGCGGGCCGAAGCAAATTGCGTGACAGAAATGGTCGGGCCGCAGGCCCGACCATCGACGCCGGCAGGCCAAGCAGGCCCGGCCCCTGCCGAACGGAGTTGCCGGCGAAGCGGAGCTGGCAACTTTGTTTGGCGGAAGGGTGGGCCTGCTTGTTCGAAGTTGATGCCATCGTGGAAAAGCATACAGAATCTTTGTAAACTGTTGTTTTACATTGCAAAATAAATAAATAAATAAATAAATAAAAAAGGCTGCAGGCTTGCAATGAATATGTTCGCAATGCAATGTTTAAACCCTTAACAAGTTGCAAAGAATAAAGTTTAAATTGCAAACCTGTCTTTTGCAAGCTTTTGCATCAGAATAATACAAACCCACGGTTTTTTCGCGAGTTTGCAAAGCGCAAAATTATATTAATATTACAGTGCCCTAGTAACATGAAGTTGTGTCGGCCGACATTTACTAAATATATTCTAATTATTTAGTAAATCAATTATGCTCTCAAGGCAGTTGTTTGACGATGGTGGTGCAGTCGATGTTTTTAACTAAAGCTCGTACTGATTCATGTCAACTGCCCGTTTTCAGAAAAATAACTAAAGAATTCCGAAACACGCGGAAGTGAACGGTCATGGAGTATTGTGATGAACAATGAACCAGAAAAGGACTACCAGTTTCGCTACGATATTTTCCTTTCGGTTTTTCGATAATTTCTTGAAAATCGCTTAACAATTTCATGTTACTAGCGTGTGCATAGCTACTGTTTCTATGGCAGTACAAACATAGGTTTCCAGTATAATAGAAGCAAACTGTATTAAATATATCTTTCAAGTATCTGTACATTCTTTTGAAGGCAAATAGAAAACAGAAGAGTCTTATCACCTTCAGCACAGACGCTCTGAAGGTTGACGAGGGCACGAACTTTGAGGCGTGAGGCGGGGGGAGCTCCTATGCAGCACCGCGGTAAACTTCAACTTCAACACGGTTTATACACCACCGCGAAGCACCGCAAGAAAAGCATTTCCAGCCTGGATGCAGTTAAGTGTGGTTCTGACGTACGAAGCAGCTAGCCTAGACATAAGTACCTGCGATGCGAGGTCTAGCCTGCATGTCAGAAAGCCATCCTGCTCAACGCACTAAGGTCACTAGAAGGCAGTCTCTTCACTTGTCTCAGCGACCTAACAGGTGCACCGCGGATCAACCGCAACAGCCAGGCTGCTGGTTTTCAAAGTCCATCCAGGTTCCAGGTCGAAGCGCGGGTGGGAGCGGGGTCTACCTGAACTACTGATCAAACACTAGGGGCCGAAAAGGAGCTCAAAATCACTACAAGCAGCCAAATCTACATCTCTGTCCTGTCCAGGTATTCATAAACTGCGGGCTTTAGATCAATAACCGAACTATATAAAAGGAATTATTTCAGTCACGAGAAATCTATTACGTCAAAAGGACGCTCGTCTCCTATGATGACATGGGACTATACAGGTTACAAGACTCACGTTGAAAAAATTATTACGTGGAAAACTGTTGATAAAACTTGATGTACTGTGCCACCCGATCCACGATACGCCTGGGTCTGAAAGGAGTTCACAAATTAGCGCTGCACCTCGGTATCGATGCAGTGTACGACTGAAAGTGTGTTACCACAAGCCTATTTCAAAAACACATACCCAGGAAAGAGTTTTTTCAAGACAAATATGTCTGACAAAACTGTTCTGTGCAACCCCGAACCTCGCATTAATTTTTCACACTGGTAAATATTGGTATAGTACTGTAAACGCGAGAATCATGTTCCTCGTCAGATTTAATCACAAGTATTATACATTGCCCCGATACCGACATGATCTCTGCATCGCTCAATAAGACTGACATAAATGCATACGTATTACGGAAACATCGTCGAATTAGTCTTACGAGCGCTCAGTGAATTGAATGAATCTAGAGGAGCGAGGATGTAATTCGGTATTGTGCTCCCGGAAGTGATTAAAAAAAAATAAGAGAGCCACCACTTCAATTTAGGAAGTACACATGATTATGTAATTAGAGGGATTACATTCGAATTTTGAGGGCTTACTCATGAATTTGGTTGGATTTCCTTGGGCTGAAAACATTCAATTTGAAAAATATATTGAAATTTAGTGATCATTAAAAAAAAAAAAATTACACGGAATACATATTACACTTCCATGTGTACACAGTATTAGGAGAGTCGTGGCCCCCTCGTATAAATGAACTGTGAAAAAATAGCATCCAAAATTAACAGCAAATCTCTGTTAATGTTTTCATTGACTCCGTGTTGCTGTAGAAAAACAAAAGTTGTTGAGGGACAACACAAGTTGTTCAGGGTGAACAAAATTTGATCAGTAGCGACAAAAGTTGTTCAGGCACACAACAAAAAAATTGTTCATTTACGACGAAAACTGTTGTGAAACAACAAATGTTGTTCAGCAGCAGCAAAAGTTGTTCAGAAACAACAAATGTTATTCAGCAGCTACAAAAGTTATTGAGGAACAGCAAAAGTTGCCTAGGCACAACACTGCTGCTTAGGAATAACATTGCTGTTTTGCAACAAACATTGCTGTTCTCAAACAACGGGGGATTACTTAGAGTTAAGGAGGAACACGAAAAACTAATAATGAAATCAACTTTGGGATTGCACAGTAGAATGTCGCACTTGATTTTACCCAAGCACCTTTTCGATTTAAAATTCTGACATATTTGGTGTGTCTTTCAACTCGGACTCATCACACTCCAGTAGTTCGATCCCACCATAGGCCTGAGACGCTGTGAACCCCACCTCTGCCTTCCCTCCCCACCACAATTACGTCCTCTTCAAGGTCCTCTACAGGCGCGGCCGCGGGCGCGGCTGCACAGTCGTGCCCTCGTAAGTCCACCATCATGGTCCGTAGGGGGAACCGCACAATATGACGGTGGAGGCGATGGCCGTCGTGGCCATGAAGAGCCAGAGCAGGAAGCGGTCCAGCACCAGTGCCACCTGCTTCCACTCGAGCTCGGCCGTCTCGCGCCGCTCCTGCTCCGCCAGTCGGGCTTCGTTGCGCTCGATGGTGGCGTTGACGCGCATAAGCACGCGGACGAACTGCGCCTCCAGATCTGCAAAGTGATCATCGGTGCATTTTGTAGATAAGATGCAGCTACTCACTGTTAAATTTCTACAAAGCGTTTGCTTTGCAGAGCTCCGAAGTATTTTGCTCCTTTGTAACGAAGCATTTACTTTGCAATTGCAAAGTGTCACTTCGTAATTGCAAAGCAAATGCTTCGTAGTTACAAAGGAGCAAACTACTTCGCAGGAATTTAACAGTGCTTACTCTTGCAACGAGCGATCGAGCTACGACCTGATGCTACGGTGGCCGGGTGGCCGACGGCAGGAAAAATATCAGACCGGCGATTAGATGTCTTAGATCGAGATGACCCATGCACTGGGCAGATTTGCTAAGCTTTGAGTTTTCCCCCAGTTTTCAAAATATGGAGATTTATGAGAGGTAGCAAATCTGGGTACTGGCTGCTACGGTAACAAAGGTTACATTGATGAAATCAGTTTTTAACGCGTATTACGAATTTCATAATTATATTGCTAAATGGTGGCTTTCTGACGCTACATGGTCATTTTTTCGATTTTACCGATTTTACACCCAAAAGCCGGCCCCATAAGAAACTCATGTTAAAATGCAAAGACCTTGAGCGAGTGGTTCTCGGGGTCCAATCGAGACGTACAGGCCGGATTTGGAATGCCCGATTCTACTCTAACTTGGTATATTTGCTTTTCAACGATGGATAAGCAGACGATTGCCGGCAAATTTCGAGCTGAGCCTTATACACGAGGGTATACTTCAGGGGACCGTATAAGTTTTGTGTGAATGTTATGGCAATTCCACTGTCAGTTGGGGGGGGGGGGGGGGGGGGTGCCCTTAACTCACTCTACAAACAAGATTTTAGAAACTTTTAGCTGGAGCCGTTCGTGAAGACTTACCATCAAGATCGGTATGAAGAGTGAGCAGAGAAGAGAACTTAAATGTTTGGCAACCCGCATATAGCCCCTCACCCTCCCTTCACGCGAGGGCGGATTATGCGAGGGCGCGCGATGCGCGGCGAGGCTAGCGGACGAGCAAAGAATGCAACGCCCCCCCAACCCCGCCGGGCCATCGAATTACACATTCCGCGGCGCCTTTTGCGGAGTCATATGGGCCCCGGTCGCCTTCTTCTCTACCCCCCCCCTCTATGATAATACTCACATAGGTCAGGGATGCGCCAACACTACACTCTCCTTCGCCAATGGCGACGTCGAATAAACACTCACCTTCTGAAAAGGCGCCCGCCAGCGCGCCACTGTTGCTGTTGTGGCCCGCCCACGCAGCTGGACACAGAATTCGCATAAGAGACAGTGAGACTTCTTTTTAACTTACTGGTTCTTTACCCACACCACATCGACTTTGCATTGGGGAGGGAGAGTAAACTAACAGAAGTAGTGGTTTGACACAGTTTTGCAATAGATTTGAGGCTAGTAATGTTACTAATTCATAAAGTAGAGGAAGAGGGGGCCAGGGGAGCGTTTGTTGAGCGAAAAATGTTCTTTGCACTGTTAAAATCCAGCAACAGCAACGCTTTGCAGAACTGCGAAGTATTTAGATCCTTTGTATTTACGAAGCATTTACTTTGCAAGTACAAAGTGAATGCTTCGTAATTACAAAGGATCTTAATACTTCGCAGTTCTGCAAAGCGTTGCTTTGCAGCAATTTAACAGTGTGCGCGTGTGCGTCGATTGCGCTGTGCCTTGATTCCCACGACCAAACAGCCCCCGGGAAGACGGACTGGGGAGGAGGGGGGAGGG